AAAATTTAAATCAGTACATTTTATTTTAAATTATGAGTTTATTATTTGATTAAAATCTATAGTAAAATAATAAAATTGAATTGACACAATAATACAAATTGGAAAAATATTTTGACAATATTGCAGTAATATTTTAGCATTGCAATTATTTTTTTTATAATTTATATTTATATTATAGTGATAATATCATAGACGTATCACAAATATAATGTGTATATAGTATATACATAGGTAATATTTTATTTAAATAAGCCTTGATTAAAGAACATTTTTTATTGTAAAGCTTTGATTGTCACTAAAGCGTCCAAATATATAGCCATTCTATATGTTATTAAATAAATCTATTTTCAATTTGTTCTTTTATTTTTTTTATTATAAGTTTATTTTAGTGAACAGTACTACTGAAATGCATAACTAATAATGTCATAAATGTATATACATAAATACCAGAAAGTCAGTTTGAACTAGTGAACTTGAATTTAATCAATGACATAATCTAGAAAATAAATGGTGATTACAATTACAATACAATTACCTACTATGTGTTTTGTGATGGTTATTTTAGTTTAGTAGGTATTTGATATCATTATACAAAATTAATGAAAAAATATATAAGGCTACAATTTAATTACACTAACATATTACAAAAATGTATTTGTAGTATTTTTAACTGTTTAACAACATTGATATATTCTTTATGAMTTTGTAGACTAGGATTTATTAAAATGAATTTTAATTGAAAACAAAAATATTTTTTAGTCTGTAAGTAATCTTTATTAAAATATATAGCCAATGTTCTTAAACAGCGACCAGACAACCAATACTTAAATATAATAATGGAATATAATAATTAGATGTATTTGAGTTTTGAACAACAAAATAATAACTCAATTAAAATATAATACATGATTACATGAATTTAAAACATAATTGGTATACACACRAGAAGAAAATTTTGCAAAAAAACATAAATTATCACAGTAATGGGTACAAAACTAGAAACAATGTATTACTTCTTTTATATCTTAAATTATATTTTGGGCCCAATTTTGATGGAACTTGTGTATAAAATGAGTCTAAAAAGGCACTATGTGGACTTTTGTCAAATAAGTTCAATCTATTAAAAGTTTACTAAAGACAAAACTATGTAAAAATACAATACATACAAATTAATTTATAAAATTATGTTCAACCAAAGATATCAATTTAATTTATCTCTAGTTAATTATTTATATTCAGTGGGTTATTTAGGTCATATCTAAATTATTCTATAATACAAGTTTGCCCTATGTGACTTTAGTAGATTTATTTAACTACCATCCAAGTACAAGAAAATAGAACTTTTAGCCCAATCACACAAATCTATATGATATACAATAGTCACATCCTTTATACTACAGATATTTGTAGTAGTTGGATAAAAAACTTACTCCAAAACGAGATTTGTGTGTAAAATAATTACCTTCCATAAAGTCAAATAAAACTGACAGAAATAAATTAAAATCCAAGTCATCGTAAATTTTGCGAGACAAAAAAACTGCCATATTATGGTTTTCATGTTACTCTATTTGTCTTAAGATATCAACAACAATAATAATGGTAGTAATAATAATAAAATAATATGTCATCTTACTGTTAAGTTATTTTGTCTTGAAAGCAAAAACTTTAGTCAAAAACTATTAAAAAATTGTCGGAAGTTTGCCATAATTATCGGAAAAATAAATCCTCAAGATAATATGAAACYAAATTATTTACAACTGATTGAGTAAGTTCACTGAAACTAAATAAATCTTGATTTGTATTAAGTACCTATGGACTGTGTACTTTTGAACAAAATTAAAAACACTATCAAGGGTCATTCATYGTGTACATGAATGCACCATCATTTTCCATTGCTGCCATTATTTCACTAATATAAGAAGCTACATCTACGCTTTCAGCATCACTTCGCTTTATGAATAAATGTTCTAGTAATTTGTTATATTTAGGCCTTTGATTTTCTTCTTTTATCAAACTAAAAATAACAATAGCAAATATGTTAATGGTTGCTTAATATTAACAGCTTAAATTTATGTTAAATTACCATGTATTTACGAAATTCACAAAATTTGGAGAAAAATTGTTAGAAGCTTGCAATCGAGGTGGATCTCCTTGAACAACCTGACATAATTGTTCAAAAACAGAGCTCCATCTTGGATATGGAAACCTCCCAGTAGCAACTTCGACTAGGGTGATACCTAAGGACCAAACATCTGAACGGACATCATAACCTCCTCGACCACGAACTGGATCAATTCTTTCCGGCTGAAATTAAATATAATTATACCACAAACTATTTTTGAATACTTCCAACAAAACATACAGCCATATAAGGACGGCAGCCAGCATCTCTAGTTTTAGCTATAGAATCTACCAACTGCCCTGAGATACCAAAGTCACAGAGTTTTATATTTCCTCGAGAATCCAATAAAATGTTGCTGGGCTTAACATCACGGTGAATAATTTTCAATTTTTCTTTAAGGTAATTCAATGCTTTTACAGTCTAAAATGTATAAAGCCATTTAATATCAATATATTCTATTACCAACAAAATTAATTATATTATAGAGTGTCTTATATCGTATGGTACATCTTTTAATAATTGGAAAACGATGGGTTGATGAATCAACAAAATAGAATTTTAGTTTTGAATAAATAAAAAGTATTTTAATTTTCAATGATAACTTTGAATAGAAACGTTGGTATACCAATACCAAATTAAATTTTTTTTATGAATTTTGTTTTATTGTTATGAATAGATATGAATCATACATTTTGTACAGTCRTTGATAGATAAATTGAGTAAGCGGCAGCATTTTTTGGTAGGTGTATCCTAAACTATAGTCGCTAGTATATATCGACAGTGTAGCGTGCATCAGTCGCTCATCAATTTGCTTATTATAAAAGTTTAAAAATAAATGTCTCGGCTGAGTGCTGACATTCAACTACAGAAAACCCCTAGTTATTCGTTATCGCGTCGACACCGCCTGTTCAATTTATCTGGCAACGACTGTATACTACTTAATATTATAACTCTCAAAGTTAAATAAATTCATTTAAAAGTCATTATTTAAATACTTATTTGTATGGTTTTAGATCATAAAAATTAAAACATTTATTAAAAGATAAATAATAAAAATAAAATATTTTACACATTTTTAATTTACTAAAAATCCATTTTGTTGATACATTATCATTTAAAAAACATTTACCGCAACAGTTATTTTTCCTAATATATTTTCTGGGATACGTTGGTTTAATTTTTCATAGACATATTTATAGAATTTATCCAGTGATGTGTCCATAAGTTCCATACAAATCCAACAATCCCCCTATTTAAAAAAATACATAATATAAATTCATATATTAATTTTAATTTTAACTATTTAAAATTACTTCTTTGAAAAGAGCTCCATAAAACTGTACAATATAAGGACATTCATTCGATTTCATCACAACATCCAGGTCCATTAGTAATTGTTTTTGTTCATTTTCATCAACAGTTGATCTTATCCTCTGATAATAAAACAAATTAAAATAATTAAAATTCTTAAAATGTACCTAATTGACAACACATTTTTGTAGCTAAAATTTCTCTTCCCTCGCTGTTTACAAAATCTGTACATGTCTATACTACTACAGGGATGGCAAAATATTTGATCACTACGAGCCAAAAACTACCCTTTTTTTTTTGAGCGTTCAAAGAAAATTATTATATATTATATATTATGTAGCCAACTCAAATTGTGATAAAAATATTTTAATTTTATGTGATCCCTCAAAATCTTTTCGCGGGCCACGTCGGGCACATATGCCATTGATTTGGCATTCCTGCTATAGAACATAAATGTACTATTTTAATAAATTAGAATACCTTAACAGCCATAACTGTATCGCTACTACGGTGTAACATTTTGTTCACAGTTCCAAAACCACCTCGACCAATCTCTCCTAAGTCTTGTAAATCATCTGATGTAAAATCATACACCTTAAAAAAAGTTAAATATAAGTTATAAACATGCAAGTATTATATTTAATTAGTTTTAAAAGAAACAACCTTGTTTTCAGAAAGTTGTAGTTTTCCAGTGGATTGTATTGTTTGACACATTTTTAATCTTTCTCTATAAATACAAAACAAAAAATGATACACATTGTTTTTAAATTTTAATGTAATAATTATTAGTTTTCAAGATTTAAATGAAAAACAGCAATTCACAATAAGCTCAAATATCAAGTAAATGTTTTACAAATATTATTAAATTATGCACTATACTGACTCAAACATTCAACCAGACACAGATGCTAGAGCAGAGATAGGTATAGGAGRGGTCAATAATTTTGAAAAGTTAAACATTTCTTAGTCATTTAATATACATTTTTTTTTTAATAATATTATACCATTACATAATTTTATTTAAATTAAGCAAATAATAATAAAAATCTTTGAAATAATAGTGATGTTACTCAAATAATACAGTTATTACTATGGAACTTAAGAGAATAATAAATTGTAATTATTTCTATAAGTATTTTAAAATAAAAAATTCACAAAATATATTCAACTTATTAGTTTCAACAATAACAGTTTTTATTTACTGTACCCATGAGCCAACCTGCATTTTATAAACAGGCCCAAGTCGTCGGACTAATGTTAACACATAAACATTGAGTGTCAGATACAAAACTTGACATACACTTTTGTATTTTAATTTTTCGTAATATAATTTTAAGTAAYACACATAATTTTGTATTTGTTTTTATTTTATATTTTATAAATAATTTTTATTCACATTTATAATATTTATAATAAACAATTACTTCTTTGAATTATAAAAAATTAATTTTCTGTATATATGATACGCGTTTTTAGAAATGGGGTCTGATAGACCCGCACACCACAATTAATATTAAAAAGAGGCACGTGCCTGATTATGGGTTAAGTAGGGAAGTGTATAGTTCTTGACATTCTTGTAACAACCTATAGAACATTACTATAAAAGCAGTTGTTGCTTAAAAATTAAAAATATAAATATTTATGACATACCAACAATGATCTCAAGTTTAAAAATACATATAAGTAATAATATTTAAATGAACATACAAAAATATCTCTTTTAAAACAATGAACCACTGATTAGCCATGGAAAAGCGACACAATTTAGGCCTAATCATAAGTGATAAATATGCATTTTTAATTAAATAATAAATTATTTAAAATGTTCTAAGTTTATTGAATTCATGTAAAAATAGCATAACATTATAATATTAAGCCATCTGACTGGTTAGTTATTTTTTAATATTGAAATTGTAAATAATTATAAAATACACAACATACCTATTAGGTATTGGCTATTAAGTTTATTAGTTATTTAAACCAAAACTGAAGTTTAATATATTAGAAATAAAGCATTTCTGAGTTTACTAAATATCCTTATTAGTGTAAATTAGTAAATTATCTAAAATATTTAAAGAATAAAAAATAAAAAATGATGTTGATTAATTTTAAAAAGCAAAAATTATTATTTACCTGTTCTTAACAATAATTTATTTTATGAGATAACCTTAAAAGCAATGTAGGTATATTCAGACATACATAACATTATGCAAATTATAATCCCAATAATTATACACTCAAAAATAAATTTCATTATAAATGGCAAAAACATTTCTAAATTATATGATTAGTAAAATAAAAAATTATTTAAGTAAACTATAAAAAAATTTTTCTTCAAAATTTAAATTCTTCGCTTTAAGTAAAAGTAAAAAAAAATCAGGAAGGTATTATTAAAATAACATTTCAATATTTATATTTATTTAGATTTTAATTACATAATATGCATGAGAATTTATATTAAAAAAAAGAAGATTTTTCATTGTTTTTCTTTTGAAACTTACCGTAATTTAGTACGTTCTATGGATCTGTATCTGTATACATAAAGAAAATATCTTTATAATACTAGTATTTTAAAAATAATTATTTAAGTTTTTGCTTGCAATAACTTTAATTTATAAGCATTAATCCTCCAATAAAAAAATAAAAAAAATATCACTAATTTATTATTTTTTTTTCAAGATAGATTCATTTATTTATTTTAAGTTTTCCTGAATATTTTAGAAAATACTGGGAATTTTATAATGTGCTTTTGACTTCRGAAAATACCAACTAGATAACATTTTATACTAGAAACCACTATTAAATTGAACAATTGAAGCAGTTTTACTGTTCCAACAGTGATGACAAATTGAAATTTGACAGGATTTAGGAAAAAAATAATAAAAATATTATTTTAAACAGTAAATTATGATCCTCTCAGTCTAGAACATAAATAATTGAACTTACCGAGACTTTTCACTCATTGTTTCAGTATTAGATAACCGTACTCTAGGTAAATTTGGTTGTTTTGTTGTAGAACCATTGATTAATAATTTATTATCTTCTTCAAACCTGAAAATAATCAATTTAAATTTATATAATTACTAAAATACAGTTTAATATAGTATCCAATTTAAATTTAAATGTTCTGATAACTCTTATGACAAAGACACTTGCACTCAAATTGTATGTTATATACTAATTAATCCAATATTTATCGACACATATGTCTCAAATTAATAATAATATTAATATATTTGTATTTTCAAACTAGCTAGATATATGTTGACACATTTCAAAATACAATAAGTAAGACAATTAATTAATTATTAATTATTCAATTTCAAAATGTTTATTTAAACTACAATACTAGGCAATTTTTAKAATACTGAAAATTTCATTGGAGTTAAGCTTATTTAAAATAGATAAATATTTATATCCAATGCTGGTCATAGTTTTTTTAACTTTTTACTGGTAAAATATCACATATCAAATCTATTCCAATAGGTCACTAGTGTGTGTAATTGTTTATTTTGGTCATATTTCAATGTCATTCTATAAATATAGCTTTAATTGTAATTTAAAGTAGTTATTATGAATAAACATAAAAAAATTAAATAGTGATTGGTTGGTGTTGTGGGCCAATRACACAAAAACATCAGTAGTGTTAAACATGTGGATTTTTAGTAAAATTGGTCATAACTCGTAGGAATTTACTATACATAACATTATACAATAATCTGCATATAGATTTAAGAGTAGATTTATCATATTATTCTGTATTGGTTTTGACTTGTAATTACACTTTAAGTGTTTTAAGTTTCAACTATGGTACCTAACTTTAAAAACATTATATTAGAAATATATAATGTTGGTAGTTTATGGCAATATTTTTATTATCATTTATTTAATGCATAATATCCATCTCACAGCCACACATCTAATAAGCTACTTAATAWCACAATATGATTTTAAAATAATTAAAAACATTTAATCAAAATATAAATGTTATTATGTAAGGAATGGTTAAATATTACGGTATAATTTTTTGTTTTCAACGAAATTATTATAATACTTGATATTTGAAGTGCTTGACAAAAAAATGAATGTCAGAAAATATAAGAACCTATCCAGTTATAGTACTTTTACTAGTTTTAATCAACTGTGAAATAAGTTTATACTGTTTCAATAATAAATGCCAAATGAATATTTTTCTATTTCTTAATATCTAATTAAAATATATATTTATTATTGTATAATTTTTTTATGATAAAAAATGAAATACTTTCTATTTATAGAATTTGAATAAAATTGGTATA